AAACCTCAGATAGTGAGAAATCTCAGATTTTTAATCACCATTAATTTGCTCCGTCTGAGACTGTGGGAGTCTGAACTGGAACTATTTGGGTGCTCTTCCCAAATAGCATTTCACACACACTTGGGGGGGGGGGGGGGGGTGGTTGGGAAATGGCTGCCAAACTGAGAGTTGGGTGAGATTTCTCCATATTTTAACATTTGTATGGAATTCCGTTTGTGGACAGAAGTAAGAAAATCCCAAGGAGCCAAACATCTTCACAGGATTTAAACTGCTAGAAAAAATACCAAATTTAACAAAAAAACTAGTTTAAACTCTGTGTTTCGAGTCAAACGTTAAAGACTGAACATTTATTTTATTTTTTACACATATTTAATGTCAAATAAACCTCAGATAGTGAGAAATCTCAGATTTTTAATCACCATTAATTTGCTCCGTCTGAGACTGTGGGAGTCTGAACTGGAACTATTTGGGGGCTCTTCCCAAATAGCTTTTCCCACACAGTGGGGGGGGGGGGGGGGGCTGGTTGGGAAATGGCTGCCAAACTGAGAGTTGGGTGAGATTTCTCCATATTTTAACATTTGTATGGAATTCCGTTTGTGGACAGAAGTAAGAAAATCCCAAGGAGCCAAACATCTTCTCAGGGTTTAAACCGTTAGAAAAAAGATCAAATTTAACAAAAAAACAAGATTTTAAAGTCTGTGTTTGAAGTCAAATGTTAAAGACTGAACATTTCATTTATTTTTTACAAATCTTTGGTGTCAAACAAACCTCAGATAGTGAAAAATCTCAGATTTTTAATCACCATTAATTTTCTCCGTCTGAGCCGACTGTGGGAGTCTGAACTGGAACTATTTGGATCTTCCCAAATAGCATTTCACACACACTTGGGGGGGGAGCTGGTTGGGATGTGGCTGCCAAACCAAGAGTTGGGTGAGATTTCTCCATATTTTAACATTTGTATGGAATTCCGTTTGGGGACAGAAGTAAGAAAATCCTAAGGAGCCAAACATCTTCTCAGGATTTAAACCGTTAGAAAAAATATCAAATTTAACAAAAAAACAAGATTTTAAAGTCTGTGTTGGAAGTCAAACGTTAAAGACTGAACATTTCTTTTATTTTCTACAAATCTTTAATGTCAAACAA